TAAATAAATTATTTATGCAAAGACTGTTCAGTATGTGGGTAAATATATTGCATATTTTTATGACCTTGAAAGGACTTTCTGCTGTTAATTAAGTTTTTTATTCTCAAGCATCCTGATGAAGAGTGCAAACTTTTTTACACACAGATCGTCATAGTCTATCCTTAGGCAAAAAATCTCAGTTACTTGAATAATTGAAATTGAAATATCAGCCATACGGGAATGGAGGCATAGGGAATAACTTCTCTTATGATACTGCAAAAATAAAATGGGAATATTTCTGAAACACTTCTGATGGATACTGATGGTACAGAAAATATTGGCAAATACAGCTTTGAGCTTCACTCAATACTTTTAATAAGCCTGCTACTTGGATTAACTTTTAATTTTTAAATTGGATTGTGGGAAGAAATAGTACATTAGGATAGATAGTATTTTTAACAAGATATTCCTCTGTTTTTGCAATTTCTTACATACGTAAAATATTTTAATATCAAATCATGGAACAAAATATTATGTGGAAATGCATTCTATGAGAACAGAACACGTTTCTTTGGCCATTGTATATCTATGCACAAAAGTGTGAATAATTTGTAATTCTTTCGTACATCTCTCTGTATAGACATATATGTTCTGTTGTGTTGCAAATGTAAAAATATGTAGACTTATGAGGAAAATTGGAATGCAAACCTAAGGACAAACAAGTTTTTATAAAAAAACAAGTCTCACTGAATTTTTACTTTTGCTCAACATTATATATAGAAACCAAAAGCTGCTGGTTTACAGAAAAGAGCAAGTAAGTTTTAAGTAGGTGGTGGTGTTTTTTTTGGGGGGGAGAGGGATTAGTTTTTGTTTTGTTTTACATATGAAAAAAACAATTAATCTTCCTGCAAAAAAAATTCTGTGGGCCATTTAGATTTTTTCAGAGTTGTTTGAAGTTTGAATTTTCTCCTCCACTGCATTTTAATCTCATTTCTAATCCCTTAGACCCCTTGATCAGTTCCTTAATGGCTTGCATTTGTTGCAAACACCTTGGTATTTTTGTTTTTATTTCTGATAAAAAGCCCTATTTAATGCATGAAAATGTGAAAAGATATTAAGAAATCCCAATGAGTTCTTTGACGCTATGGAGACTACTTTTAGTTTTAGCAAAGGAACAATCTTTACAGAAAAAGCCAGGTAATAACAGTACACTTTCCTTTGATTTCTTCTTTTAATTACTATTGATGTTCATGTGTGTTTCTGTCATGGCCTCTTAGTAACTATGATTAGTTTGCAATAGGATTTTTCTCAGCTTAGCTCACTTCTGATGTGTGAGAAGCTATATGACAGATGATTTGATGTGGGAAGGAAAGCGTGGCTGGCTTGTTGAGATCATATGACAGATGCATTTTGAGTATGGGCATATGGTAGGATGGTGGTGATGCTATCCTATTGCAGGCTGCTGTATGGGTGTCTCTCCATACGCCTTGTCTTTCCGTAGGAGCTCTCTGAGCTTTTGGGGATCACTTGAAAGTATGGGTTCGCCTGCAACAGAATAACCTTTTCCAACCAGAGAGAACCAGAACGAAACTGCTGCCCTCTTAATGCATGAGGTATCTGAGGCACTGAATATTCATAGCACAGAATAGTGCCGTTTTCCCCAAAGATCTCTTTATTTTTAAAACTTTTGAGTATTTTATGGATCAGACTTCTAAAGCAACCAGTTCCCAGTAGGCTAAAAAACATAAAGACGGAGGCATATATCTATATAAGAAAGACACCTCTATCTAGAATTTATACCTGTAAGTCTTGCTTAATGTCATCTCCTACAAAGACAGTATGTTTATGATTCATTTTGCAGGATTGCCACTTGGAGCTCCTTCTATACTTTAACTAGAAATTGTGGGGGGAAAAAAAAAAAAAAAAAAGAAAATTGCTGCTACTGGTAGCTCAATCCTAATTGATCTGATCAGGCCTTTAAAAAAAGTATGCTCATTTCCAGTGTGTGTTCTGAAATTGATGGTGAGTGTGGTAGCATCTGAGTGATTGATAGTTGACTGAAATAGTTGTGGAGTATATTTTTACAAAAGTACCAGTTACACAATATGGGACTAGGAGATGACAGTAGGAGCACTTTAGTTTCCGTATACAGGTTTTCTTAAGAATTCAGTTTGTACAACCTGAAGCAGCCCCCCTCCTCTTTTTTCTCCTCATCAGTTTTTTTCATGCAAATCATATTTTCTGTCTAGCTATTGCTGAGTGGCTCCTGGCTTCGACACAAGGCTGATTACAGTGCCAGGAAATGTTCCTAGGTTTTGAGTTCAGTAGTAGCTGAGTAGCATAATTATTTTAGGAGATTAACCTTCAGACTGAGGCAGATGGAGCTGATCCAGTCTACATGTCTACTTTAGAGGACTAGCCAAACACACATGATAGCCACACCAGAATGCTACAGTCTCTTAGCCACTGTTGCCTACTGATGGCCTTGCCTGACAGGGAATTAAGACATTGTTCTGTCCCCGCATCCCTTCAGACAAAACTCAGGTACTTACCAGTACAGAAAAAAAAATGAACAGAGGACTTCTTTTCAGGAGTTACTTCTGTGCTTGATTCTTTTTTCCACTCTGAAACACTTCTTTTTAGTTCTTTATTTTTATTTTTACTTTCTCTGTTTTCCATGATTTCTGGTTGAATGGTTCCTTATCTGTTTGTTGGGTTTCAAGGGTTTTGGTTTTTTGGTCTTCCAGTTGAGTATCAGGTATTACAGTGAAGCTGTTGTCTATCATGGATATTCCTGGAATTTGAATCAGCTTTGCAGGTTTGAATTGTACATATATGGAGAGAAACAAGTGGTGCTTTGGCCAGCTAATTTTATTTTTAATTCGCAGATAGCTGTTTCTGGCATTAAAAGGTTGATTCCCCTAATTGAGAGAGAATTAGCAGTGTGTGTGCTTCCCAGTGAACAAAACATGGGAGACAGGAACAAAACCTAGCTTTAGATCCCTCTTAGGAGGAATGCACTTGTTCGGTGATATAGGATGTTAATTATTGCCTGCTGATTGTGCTGCAAAATATATAATGTTACATTGAATTTAGCTATTCATCCTGACCTGAAACATTCCTGCCTGTGAGATTTCTGGAGTCTTACAGTGACTTTGTATACTGTTCTCACCCTTATCCACACTTGTATTCTGGAGTTCTATGCACCAGTAACTCTTTTATTCTAACATTTTTTGATACTGAAGCTGTTCCTGATTCTTACCTTGTAATATGTGTAGTGTAGGGTCTGACTACACAGAGAAGATGGTGTGAACTGAGGTAGGGTAAGAAGTTAAAGCAGAACAGCTATTCCTCACTGAATGCATTTGTTTTAAGTTAATCCATTCATAGCGTGGATGGAATACTCACTGCATGGCACAAAAGTGTCCACATGAGAAAATATTATGAAATAGCTACTCCACGCTGCTTCTTCATATGAGCAACTTCCTTGTTTGTCTCTCCAGCACAGCTGACAACAAACACTCCTGAAATGTCACGCTTTTTCCATTCTCATGATCCAATTGTCATTCTTTATCGTTCTAGAAGATCTATAATTGGAGCCAGGAATATCTGAGAGAACTAACTATACTGCAGGCATAAACCTTCTCTTTCAGTCTTTTGACCACCTCTCTCTTTGAATTTTTTGATTCCCCATCAGTTTAATAAAGTTAATGCTTCTCTTTTCAGATCATTAAAAATACTACTTGTTGAAGGATTTTCTCTAGAATATTAATCAACTCTGGTCTTTTCTAGTCTTGATGGGAAAAATGTCACAAATTAATTCCTCAAGTGGCATTAACGTTGCACACTCTTGGCAGATATTCACCTCTCAGATGTTTCTTTTTTAATTCCTTGCAAGTTGCCTTGCATGATCAAAACTGTCTGAAGAACCAGTGATGCATATCAAGGGTCATATACTTTTGCTTACCCGAGTTCACTTGATAGCATAATTCTGTTTTAAGAATTTTTCTGTAGTTTGTATGCCACAGGTTTCTCCTGGCTGAATAATTGGGAGATATAAATTGTCACACTTGTGCTGATTTCAATTTAGTTTTAAATGAAGCCATGAAGACTTCATAATTTATTCCTGAAGTTTTGTCAGCTCAACAACGTGTAGGCCAAAACTGAAAATATTGAAGAAGCTGACAATAATTTGGTGGGTATCCCAAAACATAAGAGGGAGGATATTCTTTAAGAGATGACAGGAGGAACTATGTACCACTCATACAGTCTTTAATGAATTTGTAGTTACTACTTGATCTCCTCACTAGTCCTCTTTTGAAGTTCTACTGTGCTCGTATTCAATTAAATGCTTCTGTTCTTTAGAATCTTTTCATATTGATGTTATCTAATAACTAACAATTTAAGGGAATTTCTTTTTTTACTAGAATACATTAAATTTTCCTGAAATATTTCATACTTTACTACTTTTAAGCTTCACAATGTAAGAAAATGGTTTATTTTTTATGCCTTTTTTTTTGGAAGCATATTTGAGTTTTTAAGTGATTTTTTTCAAATTAAAAAAAATCAAAATCAAAACAAATCAAGAGCAGTAATTTAATATGGGCTTTCTTTCATTTCTTACAACGTGTTTAGAGACCTAAAACCTTTTTTTAGATTACACTGGCAGCAATGTGTGTGAAAACCTCTTGGATTGCTATTCCGTCACCAAATAGGTTATCACCCTTTGAAAACTGTCTTAATTTGCTTAGGTCAAGCATTCATCATAATATTTTCTTAGCAGTTTACATTTAAAAAAAATAAACATTTCATTTCATTGCATTTCTCACCAGGCTTAACTGATACAGTTGTATTGCCAAGTTTAAAACTGATAATAGACACACTATTATTAAGTCCACAGTGAGATAAATAGTGAGAGAAAATATCTTTTAGAATTTAAAATAAGTAATCCTGTTCTTCGCTACCAGTATGTATATTAATTACCTATTCTTTGTGTAACTGAGTTTTGTTGTTTGCATTAGAATCTCGTCCTTTGTCACTTCCTGTGAAAACCATGCTGAACTCATCTGAGAGCTGCAGAAGTCCTGAAGAAAGAATGAAGGAATTTATTGGAATAGTGTGGAATGCAGTTAAACGCCTTACACTTCAGGTAAGATGAAAAGGAAGTGAAAAGCCCGTGTCTTTCCAAACTTTATGATACTTTTTATGCATCCTAGTGCTTTTTATTAGATGGTTTTTAGAGGAGCTCCCAGGTTTTATTGTCTCATTTCAGTAGTTTCAAGGTCTTAGAGAATGAAAAATAAACTATAGATTTTTGTTAAATTAGGCAAAGAATGCTTTAGGTTTAGAGTATTAGTTTTCAAAATACGTTTTTATACCTTAAAAAAAAAATACATGAAGAAAAAATGGTTGTCACACTTTTCTGTATTATAAACAAAGCTGTATACCTTTTTATCCATAGTTAGGTTTGCAAAATATGGTCCTTTCTAAAAATATCTTGGGAAAGTGTGTATGATAAATGCTTTTTTTGGGTCTGTGATACAATATGATGTTATACAATGATGTCTCAGCTGCTTATTTGTCTACCTTTTCATAAAGGGCAAGGAGATGACCACTCATATTAAACCATTTCATCCTACACTGCTCGAGATTGTGATCGCTAATCAGTAAAAGCAGAAGTTTCATGTAGCCGTATATATGCATGCTATACACAAAAAAGACCATGTTAGCAGTCTAGTGTTAAGATTACATGATCAAATACTAGATGGCTTAGAAATGCTGGAATTAGGATTCTGTTCTTCCAAATATATATCAAGTACCTGCTTAGAAATGACCCTAACTTAGAATTATTATAATCTGTGCCTTTTGAACAGGACATTCGATGAGACTGGCATTTCATGGTACACCAGAAAAACTGGTTTTGTGTTAAAATAAAATTAAAAGAAAATACACCCCCGTCCTATTTCTGACAGAAAGTAATCTTTGAATGCCTGTTCCTTCTTCCTACCAAGAAATATAGTTATTTATATACAGGCTTATCCCAGAACCCGTGTCTGTTTTTTCTTCTCATTCATGCAGAAAGTACTAGAAGGTTTGAAAGTTGAAGTTTTGCCTGAGCAAGAACTTCAGACTTGTGACTTGATTGTAGAACATGCAGAAGTTGAGGGGATACTTTCTATTAACTCTACTAACCTGCTTAACTCTGACTAATCAAGGCACAAATACAGGCTGGGTGGAGAATGGATTGAGAGCAGCCCTGAGGAGAAGGACTTGGGGGTCTTTGTTGATGAGAAGCTCAACATGACACGGCAATGTGTGTTCGCAGCCCAGAAGGCCAACTGCATCCTGGGCTGCATCAAAAGAAGCATGGCCAGCAAGTCGAGAGAGGTGATTCTGCCCCTCTGCTCCACTCTGGTGAGACCCCACCTGGAGTACTGCATCCAGCTCTGGGGCCAACATAAGAAGGACATGGACCTGTTGGAGTGAGTCCAGAGGAGGGACACGAAGATGATCAGGGGGCTGTAGCACCTCTCCTATGAAGACAGGCTGAGAGAGTTGGGGTTGTTCAGGCTGGAGAAGAGAAGGCTCAGGGGAGAGCTTATAGCAGCCTTTCAGTACTTAAAGGCGGCCTACAGGGAAGATGGGGAGGGACTCTTTATCAGGGAGTCTAGGGATAAGATGATGGGTAATGGTGTTAAACTGAAAGAGGGTAGGTTTGGATTAGCTATTAGGAAGGAATTCTTTACTGTGAGGGTGGTGAGGCACTGGAACAGGTTGCCCAGAGAGTTTGTGGAGGCCTCATCCCTGGATTTGTTTGAGGCCAGGCTGGATGGTGCTCTGAGCAACCTGGTATAGTGGGAGGTGTCCCTCCCCATGGCAGGGGGGTTGGAACTAGATGATCTTTAAGGTCCCTTCGAACTCTAACCATTCTATGATTCTATAAGTCTATTTAGTTTTCAGCCAGCTCTTTCATCATTCTTTCATGAGTATTTTGCTTGTTTTCCTTTCTTTTTTAATGTTGTCACCACTGGAGATTAAAATGGCTAGATAAGGGGAGTCAAGAGAGATAGTCTGTAAGCTATTTGAAGGAAGCAGTGTATTTTTGTTATGTGTCTGGGTGGTACCTACCACAATGAGACTCCATATGTAAATGAGGCTTACAGGTTGAGTTATAATAAAAACGTAATAATTAGGATGATGAAGGGCTGGATCCTTTATAAATGGGGAAAATTGAATCAGGACTAAGGTATTCTGTTTGTATATTTTTCAAGGTATGCTTTGTTATGTGAGCAACCAGGAAAGTGAATATTTTTTTTTTTTTAAGAATAGTTAAGATACTGACCAGCTAAAAATAATGCTTGCCTGTTACTGAAAATAAATAAATAAAAAAGTTTGTGTTTGAACTAGTGGGGGTTTTTTTGTGGAGATGAAAGCTGATGACAGTGATAGGGACATGTTTTCTCAGACAGTAAATTCTAAATAATTCACTGCTCTGACAATGCACTCATGGATTGGAGCTAATACTGGCAGAGAACTTTTTTGTATTAGATACTTTCTAGTGTTTGAGGATGTAGGTTTATTTACTTTTTACAGGTTTTATTGGTAAGGTACTCATGCTTTCAATTTTCATCATTGTGAATATGAAATTATACGTTTAGTCTTTATGTTGAAGTTAAATGGCCCGATGAATTCATACAATAGCTTATACACTTCTGATATGTTTCATTCTTAAGCTTTGATTATGCTTGGTAAAGTATATGCCAGTATCTTGCCAGAAGGACGTTACATGTTACCAGTGAAAAGTTTCAACAGGCTCCAAGGAAATACCACTGGAAAAGTCCAAGAACATGCTTCCAAACAAATGTGAAGTAGTACTTCTATATGAAATATGAAGGATTTATAGATATGCTTGCTGTTCTTTTGATTATTGCTAGTAGTCCCTATGTCTATTTAATTTAAATGTATTTTTCAAGACACACATGTATATGTATAACTTTTTTTTCCTTCAATACCAGCCTAAATGGGAAAGCTGAAATTTGTGCAAGGCAATGTGGAGAGGAAAAGAAGATAAGTGTTACGACTCTGTTTTTCAGTTCAACTACAGCATGATATATTCATTTTATTAAACATAATATGCATTTTATTGAACACATAAATATATTTATATGTTAAATTCTTACAGATTTTCTGTATTTTATTATCATTTGGCATGAAAAAGGCAAATTTCTAGAATATTTTGTCTGGTTAAATGCTGAAGCATTTAGACTCTAAGGTTTTTTCTAAAGCTATTTTCATGTTCCTGGATCTTTTATTAACACAATTGTAGAACAGAAAAGTCTGTAGTTGTCATCAGATAAAACAGAACTTCATAACTTAAAATCATCAAAGGATTATTCATTTAGTGGAAGTTTGAGTAAGTAAATGCATTTGGAACCAAAGTAACTGGAACGTTTATTTTGGATCCAAAGCTGGTACTTGCTTTGCCTTAGCCCTGGCTTGCTCATGATAGAATATTGTGTGAAGATTTTTGTGCATTGGAGTTGTGGTAAGCTATTAGTATTTAAGTGAAAAGACTTTCATACTTAACTATAAAAAAGTTGTTTTTCTTATTTAGTTGTTGTAGGATTTTATATGCAGCCTTGAAGTCTTTTTGGCACTTATACTCTGTAGGAGGGTAATACTTGCTTTTCACGTGTTCTTCATACTAATAGTTGCTAAAATAGTGGAGCAGTATAAACACAATTATTTTTAATTGGTTGTTAATGCTGAATTCCAGCGAGAATAATGAAGGATCTGTATTAAAAGCAAATGAATTAATGAGTAATGTAGCAATGAATGCCAACTAAATAAGAGTGTAATTATTACGTATAAATCTTAGCCAGATATTCCACATGCGTTTAAATATCCCAGAAATTATTTGAAAAAATGAGTCTGTTTCCTGAAATTATTGGAAATAATATTTTCTTTAAAGCATATAAATTGTACAGGATTTTAGTCAAAGTGAAACATTGATTGAAAGAACAGAAATGTAAGGATGAGATTGACTAGAGTTCCTGTTCTTTGAACATTGGTCTTTGTTCATGGGTCAGGAAGAGATTCTGTGATTGTAACTTAGCAGCTATCAGCAGTTATTCAGGAGTTGTGAGATAGGATGATTTTCTTAAGTTGGTTACTTACCACAAAGTGACAAAAAATGAGATTTTCCATAACTAAATAAAAACTTTTTAAAATCAAGCTTTCTTAGCAAAGAATATGAATGCTGTGTAGTGCTAAGACGTGTTTTAAGTGATCAAAGAAAATGTAGCTGATCCTTATTATACTTATTTGTACATACAGGTAGCCTGCACTTAGTTCGCTTACTCGTGTACTCTGCTTTCTGTTTCTATAATTTTTACTTTTTGGCTAACTTCAAAACATGTCTTTCTGGCCTGCCTTTTAAAATTCTAACAAATATCGCGTGTCTGGCTCAACTGCAGATGCTCTAATTGGGTAGAGGCAATTGGGATGTCAGAGGCTGAGGTACGGTCTTATAGTGACCACATCAGAGCACCCCTACATGAGATGCGTAGTGGTGGTTCTTTGCAGTTTTGGAAGTCATTGCAAAATTATATTCTGTATCTGAAACTCCCAGAAAAACACATTAGCCTTTCTGCCAAGAGCATATGATGGATGATGATTAATGCAGAGAGAGGCCATTTCCCAGGAGACGCCTTTATGTGAGTGTCACCTTGTGGGTCATCTTCAATGCCTCTAATTGGTTTATATAGCTATAAAATGTGGGTTAGGGAGGGGAATCTCCTTAGGGTATCACTATCATGAAAGGCTGTAAAATCTCCTGTACAACCTGTCCCATTTCATTTTGCTTGTGCAGGATAACTATGGCATGTCACTTGTTTTGTTTCACTCACTTCCACCCACCCTCCTTAGTTAGGAAGACCTAATTCTTCTGCAGTATGTATTTCACTGTTCTCTCTATCAAGCAACATTCTGTTTGTATAGAATATGAAGTAAAAATACTCCATTTATTCCAGTAACTTAATACTTTCCTTTTTGTACAACAGAGATCTTAAAGTCATTGCACTTTTTTAGGCTTATATATTAGTAAAAGCTTACAGCAATATGCTTTGCGTAACTTTTTAGTGGTAGAAGGGAAAATACTGCTTACTTCATTGGTTTATCATTAGTGGACGTTACTTAGCATGTATAGGCCTTGACATAATAGAAATGAAAATAGGAGGTTATTCTGTTTCAAGAATTTGTAATAATTCCTTCTCTTTAACACATGAATGTGTTCAGTATTGGCAAAAGAACACGTTGCTACCAAAACTGAAATAAGATCCTTGAAACAGAAAGGATGTTGCCATGGAAAAATGAAGTAACACTCAGTGCAGCTGCGAAGCATTAATGAATAGGATATTTTTTTAAAAGATCATTTGTGTTTGGTGTGGCTTGGAGGGTCCCAACCAGATGGTTTCCATGAACAGGATTTGACCCCCAGCTTGAGGACTTCTTACTGGCAGATTACTTCATTTTCTTTCCCTTGGATTGTCAGATCCTTACATTAATGCAAGATTTACTGCTGCAGATTTATATTCAGTTACATAAATCAGTCACATTTTACATTAAATTCACAATTTTAGACACACAGTTTAACAGTTATTTAAAAAGTGTAAAAAGATTTATATGATAGCTTTAATATATGCTATTGATGTAGTTTAATTTTAAGATATTTGGATTACATATATTTTAAAGCACTTTCCGATTGGTGAAGCAATCTGTAGCACACATTCTCACTTTTGTCCAACATATAATCCCATCATTTTAGATGCACTCTTCCATTCCTTCACTGGAACTTATTAGACAGATCTCCAGATTCTGTCAGATAAACATACACAGATTCTGTTGAAGTTGATAGTTGTGTGTAAGCAGAATCTGCCTCTGAGAAATCCAACAGGTGCAATTCAATTTTGCACTTATTGGGCCCTTGTGCATCCAAGTTGGCAATTTCTTATGTAATTATAGTAACTGCATGATTTACCCTAAAATGTGAAACTTTGCCATATGTTCATTGTGTTTGCCTTTGAAATCTTGTGATAATGTTTTGCAAAACTTATTTATTCATATAAAACTTCAAATGAAACACAAGCAAGCAAACCATATCTGTAAGCAAGTCTATAATATTACATATGGAGGGCCTGATGTTGTTATGTAAATGCCACCAAAATTCATGGTCCAACTCCCATTCAGTTGTTTGAAAATGAATGGTAAAGTAATGCCTACGTAAACAGGAATTTCCCTCAGGCGTTTGAAGGAGTGAAACTGCAAAGTAAAATGAAACAAAGATGATCTGAAGAACTTGTCTTCAGTAAAAAGCTGTACTGAACTGTGAATTAAGTGTAAAAACTCTACTGAGTATTGAGATCTCTTCTCAAGAGTACTTTGTAAATTATCTCTTGTGGATCCTGCTGCTGGTAATATGATGAAGTATAGTATCTCTCCAAATTGGTGGAATTTTTGGATTATTATTACCACATGGTTTGTATATCCAGGCAGCATTTGATGTTAATCATCATGGATACATATATGAAGAATGGATGATTTGTTATAAACTGTTTACTCAGCAAATGCACTGATAAAACAAAAGTTATACTGATCATAAGTTCTTTTGTCATCTATTTATCATTATCCCACAATGGCTTGACCTGCAACCTATTACTAATAGACCAGAAAACGATCTAATGTGTCACTGTAAATTTGCAAATTGACACAATGACTAATTTACCAGTTAAAAAAAATAAAAATAATCCAAATCTATTACATCTGTAACAATACACTGTTGCTTTTCATCCAGTATAAATAAAGTACACTCTGCAACCTTGGATCAATAAACTACTTATCAAAGATGTAATTAACTTAATTTTACAACTCAAACACTTCTAAAACTAGAAACAAACATAGACTTCATGTAACAATGTATTTATTTTTGCAAAATTCTACTTTTATTTTTCTGCAGTGAATTCTTGTCAGTTTGTTTAAGCAAAAGGGCACAAAAATGCTGAAATAAAGATGAATATCTGTGTTCTTCTCACTAGGCTGGCACAGTGCTGAAAAATTCCAGCTCAATTGCAAATCACTGTTGCGGTCTTCAGGGACTATTAGCCTTCAGGGGAGGTGTCGTGGTCCTCAAACCAGGACAGGAGGGTACTGAGTACAAACCTAGGTTATCAGTTTTAAGCTGTGATGTTTTTAATGATGTCAGATGAAGAGATTCTGTTGTGTAAGTTTACAGCAAACAAATGTTCTTCTATCACAACTACAATTAATGTCTTGCGTCCAACATTTTGTACACTAGACTTTTCCAAACTATTGTGAAGAAATGAAGTGAATCATAGTTTGTACTCACTTAAAGCATTCAAGTGTGCAGGCTGTTCGGGCTATTCGATATCCAGGTGCAGAATATTACTTGTAAGAGCCAAGGAAGACTTAACAGTCTGCAGCTTACACCACCTCCGAGCTAACAAGTCGTGATGAGTTCAGTTCTTCGTTTGGGCTCAATCAGCCCTGCTAGAAGCTCATAAGGAGATGGTAGAATGGTCAGATATATTTCAGGGTAACAGCATTGCTTTAAAATGAAGGACAAAAAAGTGCTGTTTCACATGAAACCATATGCACTACTTTTGATTTGCAATGAAAACAGGACAAAAGCTGTACAAACTTTGTGAACTTTATTAATGTCTCTTTCTCTTGGTGTATGTGTGTGCCTATCCATTTCTTTTAAAGTCAGTTTTTCAGTAACGTTTATATCTTTCCTCGTTTGTCTGATGATCAACCTTTTTGTACATGCTCATTACTGTTGATGACAAAGCAAAGACAGAATTTTCCCTGAAATAGATCTTTATAGAAGTCTTTATGAAAAGTAACAGCATATAAAATATTGGTTAGTTCTAGAGGCTTTTGCTAACAAAACCTAATGAACTGCAAAAAGAGATCTTTCTCAGCTTTATTCTGAGAACATTTTCTGATTCAATTATGCTTCTTGTAAAAAGCTGTTGAAATGTAGATAGATGTATGTTCACTTTTTATGGCAACACCTTTCTGATCAAATTTACAGGCCAAAATCACACGTTTTCTTCCCTCCCCTCCCATAGTCATAATTTACAAGAATATATTATTTTCCAACTTTTTGTGTCTTCTTTCCTCTTAATTCAACTAAAAGCTAAGACTAGTTTCAATCAACTGTGAGGGATGGGTAACCTGAGATTTTGTACCAAGATGAATACTTCACATCAGGGGAAAAAATGGTAGTCTGTTTCTGAGAAATCTTTCTTGGCTTTGTTTTTTCAGCTTGAAGTGCAATCTTGTTGTGTATTCCTTCCGAATGACAGCCTGCCTTCCCCAAGTACTATTGTATCGGGTGACATTCCTGGGACTGTGCGAAGCTGGTACCACGGGCAGGCCAGTATGCCTGGCACACTTGTCGTCTGCTTGCCTCAGATAAAGATTATGAGTGCTGGACACAAACACATGGAACCATTGCAGGAAATCCCATTTGTTGTGCTGAGACCCATCCTGGAAGAAGGTAGTGTGATAAATTCAAAATACTTACTCTTTAATTTCCATTTTTAACTGTTACGAAAATTATCTTCATTTTATTTTGAAGACTTCTGATGTTGTGCTGCTTTTTTAGCAGTATGTTATGTATTATTGATGGCTAGAAATACTAATGACAAGGTTTGCCCCACAAAGTGAAACTCATCATCAAGGAGCTAGTTCTTTGATATCTTTTGTATGTTTCTTGAAGCCAGAAGAATTCAGAAGTGCAGTTTTTACCTTCATTGGTTTTGTCATTTGAGTTACTGTGTAGCCACAAACGGTTGGTTTGACACAACAGGAGGGGGCAGTGAGTTGCGAATTCTAAGACAGAATGGAGGCAGGTTAGGAAAAACTTCTCATGCCACCGTTGCTGGCCAAAGAAAAAAAAAAAGTCTTGGGTCTAACATTCAGACTGGATATTAGGAAAAAGGTTCTTCACTGAGAGGGTGGTCGGTCACTGGAACAGACTCCACAGGGCAGTGGTCACAGCACCAAGTCTGTCAGAGTTCAAGCAGCATCTGGATAATGCTCTTAGTCATATGGTATAGCTTTAGGTAGTCCTGCAAGGACCAGGGAGGTGGACTTGATGATCCTATGGGTCCCTTCCAATTTGAAATATTCTGTGATTCTATGTGAGACAAGAAAAGACATTCATAAATATAGCAGACTATTGAAAGAAAAAAATGTTACTTTAATTTTTTACTTTATTGGTAATCGTGATAGGCAACAGTTGTGTTCTATTTTGTGGCTATAGGGATTGTAGCAAAGTTTTTGTAGATTTGAAGAAAAAACATTGAGAAGATTTGTGCAAGTGTTTATGGGGGGATGCTCTTGTGCATAGGCTCAGGTTGTGAAAAAGTACAGTAGTTCTTATTTGAAAAACTAATACTTGATACAGGTTTGAGATGTAGACCAATTTGAGGCAAGAATCAGCTTTTAACATTCTGCAACTGACTGAGAATTGGAAGGAGGGGATAAACTGTAAAGGACCAAGCAAAATACATTTCTTTTTTTAAATAGAGCTGTTAGAAATAATCAAAGTAAACAGTAAATGGGTTTACAGCATTATTCTGAAGGAATACTGATATACAAATCTTATTCTACAGATATTCATATGAAAAATTGTGTATTGGAAATAGGTGAGGCAAATATCCCTAACAGTCTTGAGTCTTGGGGTTTCAGTTGATTTTAATGGCATCCATGAGATCTAGCCTTAGATCCAAGTTTAAAATTTCAGTGGAAAAGCCAGTTGTTGTGGTTTAACGCCAGCAGGCAGCTCAGCCCGGCACAGCCACTTACTCCCCCTTAGTGGGACGGGGAGAGAATTGGAAGGGTAAAAGTGAGAAAACTCATGGGTTGAGATAGAGACAGTATAATAGGTAAAGCAAAAGCCGCACACGCAAGCAAAGCAAAATATGGAATTAATTTGCTGCTTCCCATTGGCAGGCAGGTGTTCAGCCATCTCCAGGAAAGCAGGACTCCATCACACATAACGGCTACTTGGGAAGACAAATGCTGTAACTCCAAATGTCCTTCCCCTTCCTTCTTCCCCCAGCTTTTATTGCTGAGCATGACATCATACAGTATGGTATATCCCTTTGGTCAGTTGAGGTCAGCTGTCCCAGCTATGTCCTCTCCCAACTTCTCGTGTACCCCCAACCTACTCACTGGTGGGCTGGTGTTAGAAGCAGAAAACGTCTTAGCACTGTGCAAGCAGTGCTCAGCAATAACTAAAACATCCCTGCATTATCAACACTGTTTTCATCACAAATCCAAAACACAGCACGATACCAGCTACTATGAAGAAAATGAACTCTATCCCAGCCAAAACCAGTACATCGGTGTACAGTTAGTTCATCATTGTATTCTTGAATCTTTTGAAAGATTTGTTGCTGTTTTGTGTATTTCTTCTAAGCTGAAGAGAGGGAGATGCAACAATTTTCCTGTTTTCTGGGAAAACTATTCTGTTTTCTGCATACTTATTGCTGAAACATAAACAATTATAAAGGATATGATATGAAAAATTGTCAAAAGCATGTTCAAGAGCTGCTCCTGCCATCTGAAATTTGTTTGGGTTTGTGTTTTCTCTATCCCTTTGTTCTACCACTTACATTGGACCCTTTTCCTCCTTCCTGTATTTTACCTTAAGTCACAGCAACAAAAATAAAGTTGTAGTTTTTAATAATGGAAGTCATATTAGAGATCCTGCCAATCGAAAAGGTAAAAAAAAAAAAAAAAGAAAAAAAAAAAGAGAAAAAAAAAAAAA